GGACATCGAGCCACTGACCATCACTCTGTGTGCAGCCGTCCAGCCAGTTCTTTATCCATTGAACAGCCAACCCATCGAACCTGTAATTCTCCAACTTAGAGGTAAGGATCTTGTGGGGGACCATGTCAAAGTCCTTGCAGAAGTACAGACAGACTGAGGTTACCCCTCAAGTCTCCTTTTCTCCAGGCTAAAGAGACTCAGCTCTCTCAGCCTTTCCTCATACGGGAGATGCTCCACTCCATCATTGCACTGGACACTCTCCAGTAGCCCCCTGTCTCTCTTGAACTGGGGTGCCCAGAACTGGGTACAGTACTCCAGGTGGGGCTTCACCAGCACAGAGTAGAGGGGAAAGAAAACCTCTCTCAACCTGCTGGCCATGCTCTTCTTAATGCATCCCAGGATGACACTGACCTTCTTGGCTGTGAGGGCCAACTGTTGGCCCATGGGCATACTCTTTTCCACCAGGACTCCTAGATCTCTTTCCCCAGAGCTGCTCTTTAACAGATCAGCCCCCAACCTGTACTGATACATGGGGTTGTTCTTCCCCAGATGCAGTACTTTACACTTGCCCTTGTTGAACTTCCTTAAATTTCTTTGAACTTCATTAAATTTCTCCCCGCCCAACTTTCCAGCCTGTCCAGGCCATGCTGGATGGCAGCACAGCCTCCTGGCATGTCGGCCACTCCTCCCACATTTGTATCATCAGCACACTGTCTGATGGTGCGCTCCAGCCCTTTGTCCAGGTCATTGATGAATATACTGAATGGCACTGGAACCAGAACCGACACTTGGGGGACACCACTAGCCACAGGCCTCCAACTAGACTCTGCTCCACTGACCACAACCACCGTCACTTCTCTGGAACATATTTCCCAGGCAAATATTGTCAAATAAAGTAAAATATAAATACTGATTTAAAAAAAAAAAAAAAGGAACGACTCATAACAGGAAGAAGGGAGGGAGCAGATGCATTTGTACTTAAATAAGAATTTGATACTCAAAAAGTTTATAAAATGCTTCGTATAACTTTTGTTTTCTTTTTGGAATACGTGTGATGGTTACTTCAGTAATAAATGACAGTAATGCACACCAGCCTGATACAAACTCTGACTGGGAATTTGTACTTTTAAACTCTCTTCATAATTATTTCTCAGATTTAAAAGAAAGGCCTAGAACCTGAATTAGTTGAAAAATTCTTTTTTCCCCTTTCTTAACCTGCAAATACAGAAGGATACACATGCCCGTGAGCCTAAGTCTAAACAATTTCAGCAAAGCAGTTTCAACAAAACAGTCTGCATACATTCACAAGACTGACACTATGCAGAAGTTATCAAGGAATCAATGCCCCATCCCATCTGTTCTCCAGAATTCACATTTACAAAGGAAGCAGTCACTTTGTGTTGCATTAACACAGATTCAAAGCCAGTAATACCCACTTGGAACCAAGTTTGTGGCCAAAAGGTGAAAAGCTGTCTTCTTAAGCTTCCCTGCCTTTTTTTTTTTGCTCCTGTGATAAAAGCAAGAACCATGTGGTTGAAGAGGTAGAAAAAAATATTTCCCATTTTAAAGCTTTAAGAACACTTTAAGATACTTTTCTAATTTTTCATATGCAACTTAGAGTAGTGAATAACCATGCAGCCTGTTAGCCAGGTCATGAGTACTCCAAGCTCCCTCACCCAGCATCTCTTACATACCCACAGGAGCACAGCTGACAAAGGCACTTCAACGACAGAGCTACATGTGGAGACACAGGTGGTACAGGAGACATGTTTGCTAAAAATTTAGGGTTCAGGTCTTTCCCAGAAGATGTCTTATAGCAGAACAAAAAAAGAAAAACCACGACTCTTCAGCAGCAGTCCCCAGAGACAATTGTCTGTCCAGTAGCAGGGACAGAGCACACAACAGTGCTACAGACCAGCTGACCAGTTCCTTCCTTGGGACAGCATGCTCAGGTTCCTATGGTAGTACCCCAACCAGAGCACTGGGGTCTTGCTTTCAAGCCTCTTCTGGCCAGGGCTTAACAGTCATCCAGGGAACCTTTGTGAGGTCACTCACACCAAGCTCTAGAGCCCAGGTCTGTAAAGCACACAAGTGGCTGGCTAGGCCTGCTCCAGATACCCAATAGCCAAGATCAGACCTTTCAGTTCTGTTAGACCATGATTAGATCAATTTGTAAGTGTGCTGTTAAGCACTTCCCAACCTGTATTACCAGTTACTTACATCAATGTCATAAATGTATAGAAACTCTTTGAAAATAAAATGGCATTAACACTACCATAAGTTGTAATTTTTTAATTTAATGTGAAACATTTATTCAGTAAACATATGCATAAAGTAGTAAGTATATCAGTGGAAGTCTACAAAAAGAGAGCAGCCACTGTCAACAGGTAGAAATCCTGGCAACATCAACCAGAAGTCTCAATAAAAGACAAATATCCAACGTAGAGCATCAACTAAAATTTTGGTGATTGTTGTTCTGTTTGGGGGGGCAGCACATTTAGAAACAAGACAGACCAAAGATCTCACTACTTATTTGACACAATTTTCCATTTTCTAGGATTATGCAACATCTGCAGTTTTTAAAAATATGCTCAAAAAGAAATACCATTCTGTAGATAAATTAAGCATTACATAGAATGCTACTATCAGTGACATGAAATGCTAAGGATCAGAGCAGGCAAGCAACTGACATTCTTGTAAAGGAGACTGGAACACAATCTCCACAAAAAAAGTAGCAAGGAGTGCAGCTTCTCCACCTAGGCAGTGCTCAGAGAAGACGCCACATGCCCAGGTGTACCATAATTGCACTACTATGGTTCCGCTTTACAAATTCTATCCCAATGATGTGTCCTTTGTGTCCAGCTTGTCATTCAGCTGCTCCTTACCTGGAAGAAAAAAAAAATGTACTAGTTAGCACTCTGTAATATTAAATTAGCAGAAATACTGCTCCAGAAGTGTTTGGTTGAAGTGCTGGGGTTTAAAACCCCTGCCCTGAATGAGGGCTGGCATATGGATGATGTCTAAAACCAGGCAAGAATGACCCTCCCGATAACATTTTCACGCAGGGTCTGGCCAGTCCTTGGGTGGGAACTGATTAGGAGATCACCACCAGGTGCCCCCACCTTCCACATTAACTTGGAGCTGGGGCAAGAAGCCACCTCTGTGAGAACTGACTCTGCTTGCAGTGGGGTTGGGAGGCCTGCCTGCACAGTGCATGTGCTGTGTGTGGATTCTGATTATTGGATGGTCTCCCCGACTCTTCATAGCAAGTGGGGTTCCCAGGATGACAGGGCCAGGAAGGCGGGGGCCAGACCTTGAGCCTGCCTCTGAGTCCCTGTTCTATAAGTGGGCTCCTGGCCTGGCTGCTGCCACTGCCCATGGCTGGGCTACTCAGCTGGCTCACTCCTTCACATCCACTGCAGTGGGTGAGTGCATTGACTTGTTCCTCCCTCCTTCCTTTGGATCTCTGGTGTGTGATATGGGAGGACCTCAGTTGCTGGTCTGCCCATTAATATCATTCTATGTTGTGCAAGTGGTCAGCAGAACATTGGCATGTATTAAAAAAAAACCATGAAATGGAACACCTACCAAAACTGGAAATACCAAGTAAGGTAAGGTAACTCATCTGCCAAGTGAGGTACTCATCTGCTGTCAGAGTCAATTCTAAGCAAAAGCTAAATTGCAGCAAGTCTTTGCACAAAGCACAAATCTCACTATTCTTTGAGACCAGCTTGTGTTAAGTTCTTAGCACTGCATTAAATACCACCTGTCTGGTGAAAGTCTTCTGCATAACCACTACTGGCTCATTTATTAACGCATTTCAAAAACTGACCTCACACGTAACTGAAAACTGTGCTACTGGTCAAACAAAGCTGACACTCCTGTTGAAAATGTGGTGAGGGGGCAGGAAGGCTGGAATGCAGGATATTTCATAATAAAAGTCTATTAACAAATTTTTTGCAGTCTATGAACACTTGACTGAACTCACAAAAGTTCCAGCTACCTACAACACATTTTTAAATAGCAAAATTTGTTCGGAGTAAACACTATTTCAAAGTAACTTTTTGAATTCTCAAAATTTAACTTCAGATTACTCCACTGCTAATGCACCTTAAGGTTTTTTTGTTTGTTTTGGGTTTTTTTTTTTTTTTTGTTGTTGTTTTTGTTTTTTTTTTAAATAACTGCAGATTACTTCAAATTCAAGTGAATCCCTTTTCCTACCTGCAAGATGTTGATACAACTAAAGGAAGCATGTTTCCTTTGCATTTGTCTCATCTTCCAGGAGGGATAAGCATACAAATAATCCCTCTCTCTATGAATCCACAGCAGGGTTCAGCTATTCAGAGTAGATTATTTATTCTAATATAATCAGTGGCAGAACGGACAAAATTTTGTTGCTAAAGTACAAGGACACTTACCTTTCAATTTCATTATTAAGTCAAATGGGATTTCATGCACCACTGACGCCATTTCTTCCAGATGTTGACAGGATGCCAGCACAGATGACAGGGAGTATTTTCTTTCACTAAGCGACTGTGGCGATGGCGTCCTGGTATATTCCTCATCCAAGCAGAAGAGTTCTAGAGAATCATTCAATTTATCTCTCTCTCTTTTTCCTGTTGCAAGACTTGGGTCTGATCTAGAACTTACAGATTCACCTCCATCACATGATTGATGCAGCTCTTCTTCACTTCTAGATGCAGTCTTTTTCACTACTTCATATGTCTTGAATGGGGATTGTAGATTTAGCTCTGATTTTTCTATATCCTCTTCATTTTTTGAAGTATTTGTTATATATGCACTGTCTATCCCATCAAAATCAGATTCTGGGCTTGCAGATTTGTTGGTATCTATGTTATAAAGTTCTTCAGGAATTGTCTCACCCCAAATCCCCAAGCAGCCAGCTTCATGACTGACAGAACTTAACAGTGAAGATACATTCCAGTGCAGCTTTCCATCCATGAAAGAATGCTGAAAGTGATCTGAAGGTAGGGCATTTGCTCTACTATTATTTTCTGAACAAGCATCTGAGGTATTCTGTCTCTTTAAATATTGAGAAGTGTGCTCTTCTGGATCTTCCACAGAACCTTTATCCAAAACAAGACATTTTAACTTCTGTGCTTCAGTTTTCTCACTCTCTTGTATTCCAGACATTTCTGAAACTGGAGGTTCAATGATAGGACTTATCCTCATCTGCTCTTGAGGTCTAAGTTCCATAGACCTTAACTGAGACTTTTCCGAGAAGGGAGAATAAAGGTCAGGTACAAGAGATGTAGGTACAGAGCACAGGAATCTAGAATCTGCCACTTTCTGCACTATAGAGGTAGCATCCATTGGAGCTGCTTCTGCCGTTACTTCAGCTGGGGCGCGCTCTGTGTCCGATGAGCCCTCAGTCTGAATAGCTTCTCTCCATGAGCTTCTGATTTCAGTGACTAAACAAAACAAAGACAAGTTTTTAATACTTTCATACCCTCCACTGGCCCATTTTTCTCCCGTCCCTTCAGTAACATAAGCAATCCAAGAAGGAACCTGAATAGCTGCTTTATAACATTTACCATTATTCTTACTCAAGAGGATTCTACACATAAAAAAACACAACTATGTTTAATGAAATCGACAGTATTCACACCCTACGGGGCCCACTGTGTTGTATTACAGAGTCATTAGGATAACTTGCAGCTTCACTGAAAGAATTACCTTTTTCTTCTTGTGTGTGTCCTGGTTCTGCGTAAAAAGGGGTTCAGGGCAGGACC